GTGACTCAAGGCCAACTGCTCTCCCAAACTTGCAAAACAAACATATTGACTGAATCTTGGCTGGGACTATTTGCACTATTGAAGATTATTTTTGAGAGTCAATCTGCTTGGATTTTTCGTTGTATATGCTTAAACCCCTTTGGAAAACAGTTTGAAATGATATGAGGGGCAATGTAATTTTGAGAACAGAACACAGAAAACAAGAGTTCTGAGATTTACATTGAAATTGAGAATATAAACTATGGTAAAATGAGAATCAAATCCCAAATAAATGGAGAGCAGCACTTCACGGTGTTTAACGCCGTGCACAGAGCAGGCATTTGGTAAGCACTTCTTGGATCAAGAGAAACTGACGCTCCTTTGAACGGCCTGTCACTAACAACAGGAGCCAGGACCCCCAGGAAAGCTGGCCAGGACCATGGTCCCCTTGGCCTGGGGCCATAATCACACAAAGCCACTCGGCCAAATCGTGTGGAGGTATCTAGGTTTACTTGCTGCAGGATAAAAGTTGAGCTAGGAACACCAAGCGAGTCCCCTTGGAAGGTGTACTGCTACTTATAAAAAATAGATATGTAGCTACGATTAAATAGATGAAGGGCCAAAGCATCCTATGAGGAAGTATCTTTCAAATTGTCTAGATGTTCATGCAGTGGACAGAAATAAAGAGGTTAAAGCGGTTTGTTTTTCGGTTAAATGAAAGGTTGTAAATGCATTTTTAATACTGATAAGCAGGGTACCCGCTACCCCTTTCTGCTGTGGAAGTGTTGCTGAGGACAGAGTCTATCTCTCCCAGGGAGTCCTGGTTATCCTTTACTTACACTTTGGCCTCGGGGGCAGTGGCGTGTGGCCTGGGTTCTCCCCAGGTCACTCTGGAGGGCGCTGTGGAATATTGCTGTGATTTGCCTCTTACTGGTATTTCACCCACGTTCCACCTTGATTCAGCACAAGGACAGGCTGCTTCAGTGGGGCCTTGGGTCCTCAGGCCTTCTGACCGCTTGGTCTCAAGGGACATTCCAGAAGAGTGACTAGTGACATACAAAACGATTAAGAAAATCCATGTCGCAGCGGCCAACCGGAAACAGTTTTGTCCCAGGCTGCACAGTGTCGGAGGCCCCAAGGTCACCGGAGTCACTGCCCATCACAGGTCCACCTTGACCCCCTTTATGAAAGGCAGGCCCGTGGGCACCCTCTTCTTATACTCCAGGTACTCCTTTCCAAAAAAGTGAATGAGTGAGATTTCTTCTTCTTCTATTGGATCACGGAAGAACCGCCACACTGTCAGGGCATACCCAATGCCGCAGATAGGGTTACACAGCATCACTTGAGTTCCAATACTCCAGTAAAACCACCCCACGTAAGAAGGATGCCGGAACCAAGCATATACTCCACTGGTCACCAGAGTATGGGTATCTCATTTTTCATTCTGCACCACGTGGTTGAAATTGGAGCCAGCTGTAAACATGGCCACCTTCCTCAGACATTCTCCAAAGACCACCATCAGCAGCCCCGTGATGTTGAGCCAGGTGATCTGCTTCAGTTCTGGCCAAAAAATGTTTTCAAGTGTGAACTCTATCCAAGAAGAAAGAGCAGCGACTGTATACTCCAGACCGTGATTCAGGAGAAAGGAATCCAAGGACAGACTTTTGGGATTATTGACTGCTGTCACCAAGTATTCAGAATAATGGAACAATGACAGGGAGCACATGTACCAGCCAAAGTGAGTCCAAGAAGACTGGCTAAAACTTAGCAGCACACCGCAGCCGAACACAAAGCCCAGGAAACAAGCTCGGATGGCTATCTGGTAGCGCGGCGGCCGATGGAGCAGCAGCAGCAGCGCGTTGAGCCAGGCCACGTAGAGCGCCAGCCCTGTGCGGCCCTGCAGGCCGGCGCGGGTGAGTAGCGGCAGCGCGAGCACCGAGGCGCCTAACAGGCAGGTGGCGAGGCTGAGACGCGCCTCGGAGCCCGGCGGAGCCCGCGCAGCGCAGCCCGCCATGGCGCAAGGCGGCAGACGAGCCACCTGCCTGTTAGGCGCCTCGGTGCTCGCGCTGCCGCTACTCAC